AACGATCGGTAGATCGTACCTTGAATAGAATCTTGATCGCACGGTGAAAATTCATCGTCTTTTTTTCATTAGGAAATCCGCGGTTTCTACCGCTTTTTAATCACAAATTTTATATTTCACTTATGAAATATTTTCGAATGACAAGAAACAATGTTTTAATATGTATCTCGATAGAACGGGTGATTTCTTACCGTGCGATCGCTTTCTTGCGGGTGTGATCGTTCCTTAGCGTATATAATCAGTCGCAAAAGTTCGGTAGCAAAGTGAGACGAGGCACACCTGTGCGGAAAACTGCGTACAAAAATGTCGCTCAATTTTTCTGCTCTCCCATCTTCTCTCTCACGCACTCTCATTCTCTCACACACACTCACACACACGTATGCACAATACTCTCTTGCTCTGACTTTCTCTCCATCCCATTCACTCGCTTCATTCGCTCCGTTCGACGAACGGCTATTTACGGGTTGCACATAATCTGGCACGTCGACTAATCATCCGCCTCACGTTAATTAAGTTTAAGCTTTACATATAATATATATCTATGTACAACAGATGTATAGTGTATATGCGCTGCGTAACTATGTATACATAGGTATATTTCTCGGGGATCATCGGGGGAAGGGTAAATGCAGTGTAGAGAATAAGTTACATATCCGCGCGGCTCTTCATCATAATGCCCATTATTGGCAACAATAGGATAATAATAGATAATACACCGGGAAGTCCCTTCAACGGGCTCCCACACCGTCGTCATTACCTCTCTCATTTTTACTTCCCTGTCACACTATACTTCTCTAGCTTCGCTTAGATCTTACGAATTACATTACATCTTCCACGTTTCTTCACTCTCTTAGCATTAATAAGCGCCATTCTTCTCACCCCTCTCACTGTCCCTATCATCTGGAGGCGCGATATCACGCCCAAGGAGCTTATCTGATATACTATCTGTTTAGCGATATCAACCTGTCACAGTAATAACAATGCCCAAGTGTGTATAATAAGGCCTTCGATTGCCGCCACGTGCCCGGTCCCAGAATTGTTTCCTGCGCCGAAAGTATCCGATCATCCCCCATTTGATTTTCCCACGGACGTCCGATCGCGCCCGAAATATCTGGATTAAAAAAATCGAAAGAAAGGTTAGTCACGTAGCTCTTTCATGATCCTTAATATTTCATTATGCGTGATAATGATTCGATTCTCGTGGCTATTTCCGACAACTATTGGATTTCCGAGAATATTCGATTATTATCGTAAATAGGTATTGATCCCATTTTATCCAGATGGCTTCGAAGCTAATCGTGACGTCCGGCCACTGCGCATAATTTCGGAAAATAATCGTCAGCCCGTCGATGAAGGAGAGCGTGACGAAACGATCTCCGTTCTCGAGCGTAACTCGCGAGCAAATCCGAAAAGAGAGCGACTGTTTTTTCCCCTTGAAATTTCTCCGGCGGCCTTATCACCGTTTCCTGCACCCGAATCGCACTTACTCCAAATCTCTATCGAAACCCTAATACTAAAGCCCAAAATAATCTACCTCTCCTGGCCGTAATCTGCCATCTCTGTTTTACTTTTGCTTTTGTCAATCACCCCCCAAACTTAGACGCGAACGCGATCCTCGTCCCGTCCCCGAGCGAGGAGCGCGTGACGCTTATTTAATATTTAAAAATCAGTTTAAATCACCTCTTATCGCTATTATTATTATTAGCCACTATTATTAATTAAAGACAAGTATCCTGCAATCTGTTTGTTTTCCAAACGGGCCGCGGTCGCGCGGCCCTGGACGCGAGTTTGTCTTTCTCTAAGCGTTGCTCGCGAACGCGATCGCGGTGATGCGGGATCGATCGTTCGGATTCTGCATGCCGGAATACATGTATGTACCTATATGTAAATATATATATATATTTTTTTTATATATCAATATATCTTGTCGGTGAATCGTGAATAATGTCGGTGAGAGAGTAATGCGGGATAATGTTGAGAGAAACGCGTGTTTCTTCATTTCTCTCCCCTTTCTATTTCCGGATGTGCTACGCGCCACTTGTATGTACTATACAGGATGTTCCTCCTACGGCGATCCCGCGAAATCGATGGATATCGACCAAGTCGATCAAAATCCCAACCATCTCCACCTTTCCTTGAAAGGCCCACGTAAGAGGCTCGGTCGTTAGTTGATTTCTATCGGATCGGCTTCGTCGCTTCTCGAGGTTTCGCCATCGGTGATAAGAAAAGAACTCTAATTCCTGTTGTGTGTGCGTTGGCATTCGGTTTTGAAGATCGGATGCATCTGGATGCCGTCCGCAGAGAGCTGTGCTGCGTTCACGACTGGTCCTGGATTGCGTTTGATCGATCAATGAAAACGAGAGCATCCTGGCTCGAGAGCATCTCGTTCGTCTGACTCTTTCTTCCTGTCTCTCTCTTGTCTGAGTGTATCTTCGTGGAAAGTCCGATATATACTGCGAATCGCGTAGCTGTTACGCGTTAGACGCTCTCTTTATTTATTTTTTTTAAAATACCTTTTCTCGTTCACAGGCGTGTCGGCCTGAGATTCTGCCGTCTATGCACTTTTTTTTTCCTCTTGCGATTTCACTCTCGTAAGTGTTACGATGCGCGTGTTAATTATCGTCCACCGTCACGCGTTTGTGCGAGTTCTATTCAACTTGCTGAAGAATGTTCGGCGATGTCCATGCGGAAAACGTCGATTCTTTATCGGTGTAGCGATATATAAAACTGCTTCTAATGAAAGACCGTGACGGAAGATAACGGATAAAACTGTGTTGCGCGAGAGTCCTTGGAGACACGTTGATGATGTTAGAACGCGCGTTCGTACAAAGAAAAATGGAGTACTTATTATATCTCGAGGCTTGTACAATAATTGAAGTGGTTTTTTTTTGTTTACGGATTGATTCTTCCGATTGTTTTTTTTATGACGATGATATTCTTGTTTTCTTCTTCGGCGGAATGATTAATTTAAATTTTACCTTGTTTCGCTCGAAATGACTATTTTTAGCTTAATCTGCCGGGATAGTACAATCTTAGCCGAGCTTAGTATAATCTTCACTTTTTTACGCGATCTTCGACAGTAAAATACTCTAGAATACTAACATTTAGCAATAAATCGATTTTGTACATTTGTTTGTCGATATCTCTACCAGTAGATTAAGTTATATTCCTCGCCTCTAACTTTTCGCGCGCCTCGCGGGCGCGCGCAATAATTTATAACGTTAAAAATTTTCTTTCTTCTTTAAGTTATTATTATTATATTAATAATTTCATCTATTCAATCATCGTTTGTTATTTTGTTTGATTTGTACATTCTCTTTCTTTCTCTCTCGAGCGTGCGAGCGGGTTGTCTCTCTCTCTCTCCTTTTGTCTTTCTTTTTCTATCTGTTATTAGTGTTTTCTGAATGCTTGAGGAATCGGCTGAATAATGTTCCCTTCTTCCGTCTTCCTTTCCTGATCAAAGAGGCTGCTTCTATCTGCTGTCTTCTGAGTAAAAAGTATATGCAACTTCCGTCTTTTTTCTTATTTTCATTCTTTTCTCTTAATTTTTTGATTCCGAAACTTTTTCTAAAAAATTCGTCGCAACAAAAATATCAAAACTGAAAGACCCGATGAACGAGCGAAAGGTGTGTGTTTTCGTATGCGGGGGCACATCGATTTGTCCGCGGGAAGAACGCAGCGATTAACGTTTTCGCGCGATTTGACATTTATATACATTCGTGATCATTATGTATCTATATCTAAAACTTTGGAAAAATTTTGAAGCAATATTCCAAATTTGTCTTTGCGCGCCAGTTATCGGCGATACGACGTTCTAAGAAAAAAAAATAGATAGAGATCTCCTGTTCCTCTTGCCGAGATATCGGACGCCGCGTTTTTTCCCGGAGCAAAAGCTTTGTTCGCTCAATTTAGAAAGAGATACTCCGAAAGAGGGCGGGTGGGCGATGGTACCCGCCGAAAGCCGACTCGACGAGGTCCCGATGGAGTATATATACCGCACCCCGTGGACCTCTCCTCGGCGACGACGGGTCTTTTGTGATAGGGGCGATTCGCGTGTCTCGCTTCGCGTGTCGTGCTTCTTCTCTCAAGTGTCCGGACTGTTCTTCCTTCATCGACTTAAAAAAATTTTGAAACTACGGGCCAAAAAGGAAATCAAAAAGATGACGCGTGATATGACATTGGTCTTGAAGTAGCGTAAATGATTCGTCGACCGTGAGAATAAACGAGGGCTTGATTCCGTATTTTGCTATCTCCCATTCTGTATCCTTCCCCTTGCTCATTTATCTGCGCATCACTGTAATTGTTCTCTGCATTTTTTTGCCTCTGTTATCGTTGCATCCTGTTCTATATTCGGCAATCTATTGCTGTGGTAGTACTAGTTTTGCATGCTGTGCGAACGTGTGTGTGTTTCTCTTGTCCCTTGGCACTTTCTTCCGTTTCGCAACTTCTTTCTTCTTTACAAGCTTTAATACAAATCTCTCCCTCTCTCTCTCACTACTTCTCTTCTCCATCTTTCATCATTTAAATATTTACGCTTGATAAATAACCGCGCGGCACGGGTCTGGGCGAGGGTACACCTCTACGGTGGTACGACGCGCGAACAGGATCCCTTGCATAAAACTGCGAGGTTCCTGGACCGGGCCCCGTCTCGCCGACGGCTTCGCCGAGCAGACCCGCGGCCGCCGCTTCTTCGAAATATATTATTAAATATAATATACAAATTTATATCCCACTAAAAAATCTCCTTCACGTCGTAATCTTTTTCCCCCCTCCTAAAAGCGAGCGAGCACAGCGCAAAAAGCTGCGCGCCTCATCCCCCCGATTAACTCTTATAATCCTCTCTCTCTCTCTATAACGTTAATTTATCCGTTTTCCCGCGAAAATCATTTCATTTTGCCACTCCTCTCTCTCCTTATCTTACATTAAAAAAAAACTCTCTCTTTATCTCTCTCTCTCTTTGTTTTCTCACCTTAATATCGTAAAAATTCATTAAGTTATTAAAAACATCTAACAAAAAAAATGAAAAAGAAAGATTCACTTGGAGTCTCCCCAACAATGTATCAAAAATAAATCTACGTTCTCAGACTCGTTTTCCTCTTTTATTCTATTTTCGATTTTTTTTATCCTTTTCTTTGTTCTCCTTTACTCGTGTGCTAGTTCGGCGCTTCATCCTTGCGCGATGCAGCGGGAAAGAAGAAGATTCGCATTATCGTCGCGCATTCGACATTAGATATGTGACAACCTGATCCTCACTTTTCTTTCAGTTTCGTTCCCACAATCACAAATATGTCGGTTATGTTTAATCTTCATTTATACAAAATTCTTGTTTCATCTAAGCTTTAGATCTAAAAACAGAGATAAACATTTAATCGAGTCTACGAGCTTCTATATCCACTTTCATAAACACGAGTTAAAGTTGACCGAGGTTATAAAACAGAATTAAGACCTCAGGATTTTAAAGAGAAAAGGTGTTTAATCAATCTTTAGTTTTTATTTTTCGGAAAAGCCGAGAATTAAATTAGTTATTTATGTGCAAGTGAATTTTATTCTGTGGTTAAACATCAAATTTAAGTCCTGAGGTCTTAACTCTGACTTTTAGCTTCTTGATGTATTTAGATCTATTATAAACTGTGATCAGCGTTAACCAATGTTTATGGAAATCGCAAACTTGATTAATAATCAAGGATGAATGAATAATCGACGATGAGAAATTAGATTCATTTAAAAGCTCACATCGGTGTTCACATCTTTCTTTAAATCCAAAGCTTGGAGGAAATAAAAATTGTAAATTAAAGTTAACAACACTTTTTTGTGGCTGTAAGAATGAATGTTATCGAAAAAGACGCGCATCGATTAGTCACACATTTAATAATTAAAATCGAAGATGCGCGATAAGATAATGTGCGTTTTCATTTCTCGCTGCAAAAAGTTCTTATCGATTAACACTCGCGAAATACTATTCGCACACTCCAAAAATTCAATTTTTGGCCTTTTCCGAAAGAAATAAAAAAAAAAGGAATAAAGATCGATTAAGCACACGATGTTAAATTTTCTTTCACCTCTCATTTTTTCCATGTCACTTTTAAATCTTGATTATCTTATTTATCCTTAACCTCATGTATCTTTGTACTAAACGCATACCGAACGCCGAGAGTGTAAATCGGCGGGCCCGTGGGGCCCGTCGTGTCACCAGACGTGGGCGCCCCGATGGGGTTCCACGTGCCGATACCGGTGCCGCCTCGGTTGCGCGCCGACGAGCTCGATAATCGTCGATCGATCGTAAAAAGTAAGTCCCGCATTTCTGCCGGACAATAAACTCGAGTGGTAATCACTTGATGGCCCAAATAATTACGAGAGAGAATGAGATCGGCATTCGTTTTAAGAGTTCTCTCAATTTTTTTAAAATTTATTTGAATCTTGGAGAACGATCGAGCTTCAATCGGCGCGAGACCGTGCGCCGTGATTGATTAGTCCGTTGTATTTGTTGAATTTCCTTGGTCATGCTTAACGACCGCTTTGTAGGGTCGGTTTTCTCGACTCCGAATCTGATTTGATTCATCGCGTTCCCCGTCTCGCTGCCTCCGCCTCATCTACCTGCCGCGCGATCGATCGTCTGAAATTTCTCTCTCTTCCTCTCTTTCTCTCTCTCTCTTTCTTCCCCTATCGCTCTAAAAGCGTCACTTCGGAATGTCTTCAGAACTCGACGCAGCGACTGTGACGCGTATTCGGTCACTAGTATACCAGCTGGAGCAAGGTCGCCTTCGACATCACTGTTGGAGAACGACTTCGACGCGAAATCGCGTCCTGTTTTCTTTCTTCTTTCTTTCGTTTTGCCTCGCCAAACGTCTCCACGTTATCCTCGGATCATCCTCGATCACGAAAGGAATCTCCTGGCTCTGTGCAGCGGGATAATAATGGCCGATTATACGCGCTGCCAGTCGCGATATCGATGCGAGATCGAGATAGGTGCGCTCCGCGGTTATCCGCGCCCGGCTGATTCTGCGCGCCCCTATAACAGCTATAATTTGCAAAAATTACGGGGTTCGCAGGCTCGTCGGAGGGACGCCTCGCGGAGGCTCCGTCTCGACGCTCGTCTCGGCGACACACCATCCGCGGTGAGAGTAAATGTCGCGATTAAACGTCACGACACTTCGCTCTCCCGTCGTCCCTCTACTCTCCCTCTCACCACCCTTCCATCTCTTTGCTTATCTTGCGTTAAGCCTGATTCACCCTTACTCTTTCCTTCGCCTTTCCTCGCCGTTTAACTTCTAATCAGTAATCAAATTACTTATCAATTAATAATTATTATTCAACACACGCACACTCACACATTATTACATTCATGGTAAAAGTAAAAATCCCTGAAAAGTTTTATCGGTTCACTTTTTGTTCCTTATGTCCCCTCCTTCGCTCGCCGTCCGTCTCTCTTTTACTTCCTTTGTGTCTAGCTTTCTTTCTCTCTCTCTTTCTCGCTTTCTCCTTTCCTCGCTGTTCTTCGTTGCGTACCGACAGTCGCTTTTTCATTCTCTCCGTGTGTTCGAGAAACGTCCTTTAATAACGCTCTTTGAAAACGTGGCACAAAACGGCATCCGCGTATCGTACCGATATGGTATTACACAATCGGACTTTCGTCTCCTGTTTCAGTTTCCTCCCTCTTTCTTCTTCTTCTTCTTCTTTATCATCATCAATCACTCGTGCCAAGCGACTTGATGTCTCGTCGGTGTTGTCTTCGACATCTTGATGACTGCTTGTCGATTTCCCCTCCCACATTCACGTATCTGATCCCTCTCTCCTTTTCTCTCTTTCTTTCTTTCCCTCTTTCACTTTCGTGGCTGTTGATGAGGAACTTGAGGCGAATAGAGCGTACACGACGCATTTCACTTCACTAATACGAAATAACTCATAGTCGCTTCTTTGGTATTACGTGCGAGGAGGGGCGGGTGGGGCGCGGGGGTCGCTTCTATTCTCTTCTCCTCCTGAGGCATCCTGGCTTATGTCTACGACCGGCAACGGGTCGCCGTTCCGCGGTACACGGTCTCGGTATTATTTAAGTCTCGTATTATCGTTCAACGTCTCTGAATTGTGTGTATAAAAAAACTGTACCTAATCTGTATTTTTTGCTTTCTTCTTTTTTTTTTTAAGAAAAACCGCTTTCCTCCTGTAGTACTAGTAAGAAGTAAGTAAATAGTATAGCGATAATAGTAGTAGGTAGGTAGTAGGTAGTAATAATAGTATAATAGTTGCAGTAGTAGTAACAGATATAACATAATATGTAATTGTCACTTAACTTCTCTGTATATTATTAACTTTAATATTAGATAGACTTTTTCTTTTTTTTTTTTTTAGATTAATCGGTTTATCGCTTCTCCCGCGCGTTTCACTTTCCTTTATCGTATTAAATCTTTAACCGTAATGCAATGAGGTAATAAGGTTGTGTGTGTTTTTCTTCTTTTTCTATTTTTTTTTTCTTATATCAGTTTGTTTCTCGTCGAAGAGTCCTGTTTCATCGGCGGCGGTGGTTTCGTTAGCGCTGCGAAATTGGATCGTGCGCGGCTGTGTGTTAATTGTCGCTTTTCGTCGCCATCGCGGGGGGGGAGGGTGCGCGCGCGAGCGGGACGCAGACGCGACGCGTAGAGCAAAGGGGGAAAACGTCACAGTCCTCGTCAATGAGAACGGGAGTTCGTCGTGAGAGTCAGCGATTGCGTATGGGCAGTGTCTGCCTGGACAAAGCCAGATTCGATAATATACACTCGGTGCCTCTCCGATCGGTCGCGAGTTCTCGCCTACCATTCCGTGCTTTGCGTTCAAGTCGCGACTCGCGAGAATCGCAATCGTTTCAACCAAATGCCAATGCGATTGATCATTCACAACATGCGCGTCCCCATTGTCGACAAGAACGCTTTACCTAAGATAAATTAACCATTCGCACGTGATTAACATCGATCGCGATAAATGCGCCCGTGTCGAACCGAACGGAGGGCCCGAGGCCTCGTTGACTCTTCAGATTGACTTACAACAACAGTCAAGTCTTGGAATTAGAATCTTTGGGATTACGAATTCTTCGTTCGAATTCTCAGAATTAACTCTCCGAATTGTGGACTCGCCGAGCGCTCCTAGAATTCCTATTGATTCGTCGAGTTCGGACTTGTGGATCGTTCCTGATCCACGGAGCCCGAGGTTCGACGGAAACTGTTACTATCAAGAATTATCTCACAGTGTCGACGAGTCCGCGAAACTTGCTGGATCTCGGTCGAGTTAATTCTCAGAACGTTGCCGCACGTCTTCCCGTCGCGATCTGCGCGTCGCGCACCCTCGTTCGAAGCCCTCCCCCGACGGGGAGGGTCGCGCGCGCCCCGCGAGAAAAGGTCGCGATAAGCTCAGCCTCTCGACGAGAGAGAATGTCAAAGCGACGACGAGGCCACTCCGGCGAATGAAGCGGATGGGCGTCGGTCCGCGTCAGGTCGGTGTCATCGATGTTAATGTTACTGCGGCGATGATGGTGACTGCGGCTGCGGCTGTTGCTGCTGTTGGCTCGATGGCGAGCCGGCAGATTGCTGTTGGGAACTGGACTGCGACGTCGTGCCGCCCTGGGAAGTGGCGCTGCCATCTCTTTTAGAACGGGAGGCACCTTCCTGGCTGCTACCGCGACCGGCGCGTGAGCCAGCACCACCGGTTCCACCAGGCGTGCCTGATTGCAGTACCATCGCGCGGATTCTTCTTTGTGCCGACTGCAAGAAAACCGGAAATTTGTCACTATTTTAATTATTATGCTAAACGAATTATATTCATAAAGAACACACTTCACTCCTAATTTAATAAGAGAAAATTGCCTGTCTATCGATTAGCAGTCTTTTTAGTGTGTCAGTGACTTGTTATTTCTTTCGGTGGATTTGAGTAAAAAAATTAATCATATGTAATAACATAATTAACATATTTCATAATAGATCTGATATATATAAATAATATTTAAGTATCAAGTATATCTACTCATAAAAATTATTTGAAAAGCCAGCCTCCTTACCTGAACGGAGAAGAAGGGACCGAGTATATGGACAGTTGTTTCCTCTTCGGCTGAAGGAGGAGTCGCTTGCTGTTCTGACAATTTTATAACGCTACCGGTCACGCGCTGTAACTCCCTCACGTTTTGACCACCTTTGCCGATGATTCGGCCAACCTGAGTACTGGGCACGAGGATCTCGATGGTCAGTCTAACGTCTTCAGTGCCGGAGACGTATCCCTCCTCCCGCATCTTTTCAAAGATCAAGTACTGGGCCTGAAATCGCAGTTTTTGATATTGTACAAAATTAAATTCTTCAGTTGTCTCAGAAATAAATTAATATAAAACGAAAGTTAAAAAAAAAAAAAAAAAAAAGGATGTCGAAGGGTCAAACGGGGCCGATTCTCGCATGCTTGGTTCGACGAGATCGGTACGGGGCCCTTTCTTTAATATTCCTGCTGATTCAAGTTGATGCATAGATGACAACATCCACCCAAAATACGCAGGGTAACCGAACATTTTTACGGACTTGAATGTACTACACAATCTTTCCCGTAGACGACTGGATTTGAACCCGCGACCTCAACATTGGTAGACTGACGCGATACCCTATCTGCCAATATGGCATCGACATTATGTGGATGTTAAAACCCTTCAGACATTACTTTGGCGTTATCACTAACGAAACAAGCTTTATCTTTTTTGTTGTATTTAAGTGTGCTTATTTGAATCATAATACGTAAAGCAAAGAAAGGCGCCGATTTAACATTTGTGTGCAAAATTGAAGAAACTGTGAGATAAAAAGTCAGGAATCTCATTCTTGACCGAGAGATCACGGAACAACGGGGACGATTGCGCTTACCTTCCACTGAGATTCCGGGGAGCCGACGATGGTGACCTTCCTCTCAGTCTGTTGCTCAGCCGGCTTATCTTGTTCAAGGGGAGCGATCTTTACGCTCGCGCCAGAGAACCTGATTATGTTACGGATGTGGGAGCCCTTGGTACCGATGATGGCGCCGACGCTGTTATTGGGAATGTAGAGGAAAGTCGTCTCCTGGGTATCACTGGCGGGGACGCCCTGTTGAGTAGGCAGGCTGCTCTGGTAGGGATACGGGGCGGGTCCCGAGCCGTAGAGGCCGGGTCCACGGGAGCTGTAGCCCATGCCGGCGGTGGACATCATGGCCATCGGATGCAGGCCGGGGAACATCATGCTTTGGGGCTGGTGAGGATAATGATTATATCGATTAGAAGCCTCGTCGCGTTGCGCAACGGCGTCTTTAACGCGATCGACGCGCTTTATCTGCGCCAGACCTTGACGAGGTCGACACTCGAATCTTTCTAGATTAACTAAAAGCTTGACGAAAGAGTTTGCTTTACATTCCAATTTTTGATAGCAAATATTCAATCTAAAATTTTTAATAGAACCCTCCGAGATTTGATCCTCGTATAACAGTGTCACTTGCAAGTCATTGAAATACGTGTGAGTATTTATACTTATTTGTATTTGCATTTTTTTAATTATTTATATTTTTCCTACATATTTTTTTTTAATCTACGGGAGAATTCCAAGAAAATTCTTCCGAAAATTATATGCTTTATTATATTGAGAATATATAGGTGGGCAATATGCGATGAGACTTACAGCCATAGCTTGTAAATCGTTTTCGTAGCTCTGACGCAGCTTGCTGGAAATCATGGACTCAGCTTTGCTCATGTTATCGATCGTGCCCTTAACCGTGATGATGCGTTCGAGGTTGAAGCTATTGATGTCGTTGATACTGCTAACGGTGATCTTTGTATCGGTGTCCTGCATGATTCTCTTGATTGTGTTACCGCCCTTACCGATAATCCGACCGATGAGATTGTTGTGCGCGAGGATCTTCAAAGTTATCTCACTGTCGACAAGCAACGTAATAATATAATTATCATCACGATTCAATTATCGGCGAAATAGCGATTCAATCGAGCAACGTAAATTAAAAACTGTATTTATAATATATTGAGATCGGGATGATCATGAGAGTTAGCTAAAACCGAATTAACAGTTATTTGGACAAAAATAACGAAAAGTTTTTAATATATTAATATTTAATATGTTATAGTTAACAAAATATTTGATATAAATATATTTTTATCTAATATATATTCGACCGATGTACGATTTAATTTCGGAAGGATCGAAGGGAACTCGCGACGCCGACTCTTACCCCTTGTTCGTATTGTTGGCCTCTTGTTGCATGACCTCCAGGATCTTCTTACATGCGTTGGTACAGTTCTCGGGATTGCCGTAGATAGTGATAGCTTTTTCCAGAGATCCGACATTGTCCTTGCGGTGAACATCGACGCGGGCGCGCGTCATCTGCGTGATCTGCCGTATGGTGGAACCCTGTCGGCCGATTATCGCGCCTACCATGTCAGACTGGACAAGGATACGTAGCGGAAAATCGGTCTGGCGACCAGATCCCGGCAGCCCGGAGAAGACCGCGCCACTGCCGCGCTGGCTCCGGCCCCTGCGCCGGCTCTCCGCCGAGGACATCTCCACTTTCAGCGGATTGCCGTCGAGGTCGTAGCCATTTAACTGGTTCACAGCCCTGTGAATAGCGAGATCATTGAGTATCTCTCCCGGCCGGGTAAGGTCGGTTCTACAATCAGTTGTATGTCGTAGTCAACGAGAGAATTTCTTTTTCGAAAACAAATTTTCCTCATTGAACTATCGGCTACGTTCCGACATACGACTAATAGTAGGCTCGGCTTAAACCGTGCCGATAATGACGTCATCAACTTTCTATGCCTAAAGAATGCCTAAAGTTCTAACGTGAATTCCGAATATAAATGTATATACATATGGCGAGAAAGAACCTTCGCGATTCTTCGGAACAAAATGTGAACAAAAGCAAGAGGAAGCAACGTTTTTGCCTTATTCATCTACGACACAAATTTCCTCGATTTTTCGCGAAATCACAGGAGATAAAAGAATTATGTCAATTAACGTACTGCTGTACTTGTTCTTGCGTCTCATAGCTAATGAGTACGCTCTGTGTATTTGGGTCCCGCGACGGCACTTTTTCGATGCTCTGAACCTGGCCGTAGTTGGAAAACAGCTGGTCCAGCTCCTCTGGTCGTATTTGGATCGGTAGATTGCTCACGAGGACTTTAGCGACTCCGCTGCTGCTGTAAATAAAATAATAACAAGATTAGGCGATACACACGTTTCGGCTGCGAACATGTAGAAGTAAGACGAAGCTGGGTAAATGATACTTTATATCAACGTAATACACACATACACATATACACGCACTTATGTTCTTAATTAATATCTAATAACGCGATATTAATATCGTTAGGAGCATATAGCGAATGTAAAAGATATTTTCCATACTACCGCATGATTTCTTCTATCTTGGTTAGGTATTTGTATTCGTCTTGACTGAGCAGAGACTGTAAGCGAAGGAAGAGAGAGGCCATGTAAGTGAACTCTCGAACGCGACTGTGATAGAATTATACGGCAGCAAGCAAGATTCCAACGGTAATCGCTAATAAACTTTGAAAGCCGAGCTGTAACCTAGCGGGGAGTCGTCGGCTGTTTACATTACATCGTGACATTGTTGCCTTACTATATGTATAACGAGATATATCTGTTGACGCCTGTCGTCAGCGGACAATATTAATTTTAAACTTTATATATTTATCAAGATAACTATCTTTATTATTACAAGTTAATTTATAATGTAGTTTGACAAAAGATGAGAACAAACTACGTGCAAAATAAGATGAACAAAATTTCACGTGTTAAATAATAGTTGTACAGAGCTGAGAACATTTTTCCCAGAAACGCTTTATGGGAAATCGATTGGATATCATCTCTTTAATGCCTGAATGTGTATCAAGCAACAAGAATGCCTGGTTTAGCAGAAAATTTTATATTTGTGAGATCTTTTCGCTTCTTTTCCATTTATGAAATCTTTCTTAATGATTGTTCCTAGAATAGTATAAAAAAATATTCAATATTATATTATCTTTTAACGTAATATATGATGTTCAATGTTATATTAAATACATACATATTTTAATATTATCTTATAATATATAAAT